CGTGACGGATTCAAAGGGCCACTGGGTTCTGGTCTTTGAAGGCTCAGTGCCCATGGCCCATGGGTACAGGAAGCTTCAAATGTGCTGCTTTCTTCGTACTCTTGGTGGGTTGACAGGGCTATGTCTCGTGTCATCAAGCACAGCGAGTGTGTTTTGTCTTGAGATGGTGCGAGAACTCAGCACAGATACACCGTGAGACCAAAAGCTTGAGCAAGGCCCAGCCAGATCTCCTCTAAGATGTTGCTTGTGCGGTTGAAGCATCGGCAATTCACTCAATGTTTCAGCCCAAGTGTGCTTTGCTTGAACATGGTGCAGTCTACAACTCTTCACCTCATGCCTCGAACCCCTTCGCTGCCAGATATTGACAGGCCTTCTCCAATCAAGATGCAGGTGGGGCATGCAGTGTCTGTTTAGAGCCATCGTCTTGATGGTCCGGAGGCCTCTGCCTATGCGTGTGTCTGTGTGTACATGCGTTTCCGTGCTGTGTGTGTGTGTGCACCAACTCGTCCATGGCCCAACCATGACAACGTGCATGGTCGAATGTTCTGAAGCGTAAGCATCCAAGGCCCATGCGTTCTCAGGAAGAGCATCCAAATGCCAAACATGATAACATCCATGGTCGAACGTGTTCTCGGAGACCATGGCCCAACCATGACAACGCCCGTGGTCTCATGCGTTCTGAGACAAGAGCATTCTTGGCCCAACCATGATAACGTCCATGGTCCAATGCCTTTTGAGGACCGAGCACCCATGGTCCAACCATGATGACGTGCATGGTCGACACGGAAGAAGATTGCATGACTGCGGCTTTTTTCCGCATTGATCTGTGACTTAGTAAGGCCGAAGTACAACCTCGTCAGGCGTTGAGATTTGAGCCTTTCCAGGCGTTTCCAGCCCTCAGGCCCGCAGTACATCTCGGGCCGTCAGACTCGCATTTGGAGGAAGAAACAACCGTTAGGTAATCATGGTTTCTGGTTTCCCAATGACGTGTCCGGTTTTGTAATCAGCCATTCTGGCTACCGAATCGAATCACGATGTGGTTTCCGAGTCAGCCGTCATGGTTTCCGAATCAGCCGTTTTGGTTTTCGAACCATGGCTGGTTTCCGATTCAGCCGTTTGGGTTTCCGATTTTTTCGCCCACCGGCCCTGATGCCCCGACAGACTCGTTGCAGACTCTCGTTCCGAATGTCAGGAACCAGCAGCAAAACATACAGGCACTGTTACTGGATCGGTCTTCCCTTCGTACATTCGTTCGTTCGCATTCAAGGAGCACTCCAAGGAAGTCTTGAGAGCATTCCCAACGCTGGAATATGTAGATGCCGGAATGTTCAGCCAACCTTTCAGAGCACATGGGAAGGCCCTGGCGACCGATCCAGCCGGCACCGTCTGAGACGAATTGAGCCCCGTTTGATTTCAGCAGCCTTTTGCGACGAGGTGTCCTTAGGAAGAGGGAACTCCGACAGGCCAAGCGAGCTCCGAAGCGCAAACCACAAACTTCCGCTGCCAGCGGCATGAGATTTAAAGCGCATGAGTTGAACTGCGGAGTAGACTTCGATATGTTAGCCGATATGTTCAAGTCCTACCAAACCCGAAGCCCGCAAGAGCTGAGAAAGTTGACGCCAACGAGCCAAGGACCGGGAATTCCCACAGTTGCTGTCGCCTTTGGAAGAGGTGCTGAGCAGGCCCACGGCACGTTCTTCGTGCGGCGGTACGGAGATGATCGACTTTGTGTCTTGAGGGTTTCAAGCACGAAGCTTCATGGAGCAAGGAGTCTGAGAATGCCTGTGCATATTCCTCGTCCTCACAAGGGGTTTTGGGATCGGACTTCGCCTAGGCTTCCGTGCTCGTGATGTGGAGCCTCGATCATAAACCCTGCCCTTCCTGAGCCCTAGGGTAGCATCCTTTCCTCCAGCTTTCAGGTCGACCAGCGGTGATCTTGCAGAGTGCCCGCGCCGTGGTTGCAAACAGGACTCCTCCCAAAAGAAGCAGATGTGGTGAGAGGCTCGGAGTGCTAATTTTAGAGCCTGCAGTTTGGCATGAGATCAGTGCTTCAACGATTAGGATTGGTTGCAGGCCTGTGGCAGAAGCCTGCCTGGTTTTCGACATGGAGTGCTTGAGAAACAGGGATCTCAAGACACAGTTCCACTGTAGAGGCAGGTGGGGTAACGCATGCAAGAACCCCGAGCCATAAGATCCGTTCGTTTTCGCAAAGGCAGAATGTCAGCGAAATCGCTCGGGGCCTCTCCTTTGCGGACATGAAGCATGCAGAGCTCGAAGGCCAGAGCCCTGGCAATGAGGGCGGTGTGATATTACGCGATCTTGCGGCATGTAGCCGTTTCCGGAAGATTTGCAGTGAGAGCTTGGGCTTGAGCCAGGCAAGTCGTATGAAGCCTTTGTAGCAAAACCGCGGTCCGAAGCCTCGAGCCCCGCCGCAGAAAGTGGGGAGCTGGTGCTGACCGACTCTTCTGGCAACAGCTACGAGCTGCCCTTGTCTCTGGAG